TTTGGAAATTTTCAAAAATGTAAACTCTCCTGCTCAGTCTACAAAGTGTTAAATGGACTCGCTCCAGCAGCTCTGGGTGAGTTCATTAAGCCCAAGTCCAGCTCTAGTGGTCGGGGAACAAGAGCCTCGACCAGAGACGACTGTGCAAAACTCTATAGAAGAACAACTTTCAGTCAACAGGTGTGATCAGTCAAGGAACAGAAATCTGGAACAACATCCAGCTGCTAGAAGAGTCTCCACCACATTCACTTCATTTAAAACTAATCTGAAACGACGGCTTAAGAGAAACCAGATCTGTAACCACTAATGTTCTGCTCCTGTGTAAATGTCAGTGTTGTGTGTCATGCTTGTGTGTTTGTCTATTGTGACACGTTTTATGTTCTTATGTTTTATGTCTCTGTCTCTCTGACCTGCCAGGGACGACAGATGAAAAGTACCTTCGGGCTAATTCTGGGGTATTTACAAGTATATGTTCATGAATATGCATTGTCCCTTTTAAATAAAAAAAATAAAAATGAAAAAAATAAAAGAAATAGTGCAGAAAATACGGTAATTATTTAAATATAAATATAAATACTTGGCCTTGGCTTTGGCACATGTGCTAAAAACCGTACAACGTTTTAAAACTTTTTTAACAGACGTGCGTATTTACAGGGAAAAGGCAGAGGAAACGAAGAGTTATTTGAGGACCAAACAGGACTATAACAGGCCTAAAAACAGGTTTAAAACAGGCCTAAAACAGGACTAAAACAGGCCTAAAACAGGTCTAAAACAGGACTAAACCAGGACTAAAACAAGTCTAAAAACAGGTTTAAAACAGGACTAAAACAGGACTAAAACAGGCCTAAAACAGGTCTAAAACAGGACTAAACAGGACTAAACACTAAAACAGGTCTAAAACAGGTCTAAAACAGGTCTAAACAGGACTAAAAACAGGACTAAACCAGGACTAAAACCAGGACTAAAACAGGTCTAAAACAGGTCTAAAACAGGTCTAAAACAGGACTAAAAAAGATCCAAACCAGGACTAAAACAGGCCTAAAACAGGTTTAAAACAGGACTAAACAGGACTAAAACAGGACTAAACAGGACTAAAACCAGGACTAAAACAGGTCTAAACCAGGACTAAAACAGGACTAAAACAGGACTAAAACAGGATTAAAACAGGACTAAAACAGGTCTAAACCAGGACTAAAACAGGACTAAAACAGGACTAAAACAGGACTAAAACAGGACTAAAACAGGACTAAAACAGGTCTAAACCAGGACTAAAACAGGACTAAAGCAGCAGAGTGTCGGGACGTGCCTGGGGCGCACCCGTGTAGACTGTCGAGTGATCAGGACTGAGGCTGGGACCAGACCAGGAACAGGACGATTTTTATTTTGTCACAGTTTCCTCGTCAAACACAGATGTACATCACATTTCCCACCGTACACGTGTTTGAAATTATTATAAATATATGTCAAAAATAAATGAGTGAATCCTCTAAATGCTCTGAATCAGTAAAATATAGAATATTAGTGATTTTGTGAGTGAAAATTGAAGAGACAGGACAGTTACACCAAATAAACCACTGCACCTTTCATTTATATAGAGTCATGTAAAGATCCAAATTCCACCATTATGCAACAATTATAATAATAATTGAAAACATATTTTTTAAGGTGACATCTTAGTTATAAAATACTGAAAATTGTGTGTTGTTAAATTAGCATGAATTATGCAGATTGCATCATAAAATACATTATAGTGATGATGAGGAACAGAATCACAAAGACCTGCTGTATCAAATTTGATACAAACAATTTTAACATGATTTTTCTACAAAATTATGTAAAAATATGAAGATTCATAGATTAATCTAAGAAAGTAAATGTTCATATTGGAGAATCAATAACAAGATTTATGCAATTTTTACACTAACCTTTTCAAAATTGAAAAGTTGTTTCTCCAAAAAAGAGAAGAGAAAGTCACGCCCACCAATGCGACCATTTGGAAAATGTCTCCTTCTGTAACACTTTATTTTGTAATTGTTTTTTTACGTGTTTTGTGGATGAATGAAATGTGAAATGTGGAACCTGCCTCTCAAATCTGCAAAGCAAATTTACCTACGGTTACGAATAAAGCGACCTAACCTAACCTTTACTGAAAACCATGGACAGACCACTAGGGGGCAGCAGACGAGTATTTAATTGTAAACAACAGGTTTTTCAGGAGAAATATTGATTATGTGTTTGGGCAGAGGTCTCAGAATGTTGCGTATCAAATAAGATACAAAGGGTTTTATAGGGTTTTAATCTGGTGTTGAGCTCAAAATGTTCCCAAGACTTGTGACATAAAAAGTGTGACTCTTTTCACTTTGCGCAGACGTAATCTCGTCATGAAGTTAGATTTTATCACTTTTCTTTGGCGTTCAGGTGCGATCCCTGATTCAGAACAAGTCTTTTCTAAGTTTTGTAAAGTTAAATGACGACACACAAAAGCAGAGTTAATCTTTAAAGACATATTTTATTTATATTTACACGATTATGTACATTTTTGCAAGTTTCAAGAAAGTTTTTCAGTCCAAGTCCGTGTCTGAGGACCGAGAAATCAATTAATAAAAGTCTACAATCTAAGAAATAAAACGATCAATAAAAGTTCAACAATAAAGAAATAAATCAAGCAATAAAAGTCTAAAATACAAGAAATAAATCAATAAAAGTCAACAAACAAGACATAAATCAATCAATAAATGTACAAAATTCAAGAAATCAATCAATCAATTCATAAAAGTTCATCAATCAAGAAATAAATCAATCAATAAAAGTCTAAAATACAAGAAATCAAGCAATAAAAGTCAACAAACCAAGAAAACAATCAATTAATAAATGTACAAAATTCAATAAATCAATAAAAGTCAACAATACAAGAAATAAATCAATCAATAAATGTACAGATTCCAAGAAATAAATCAATCAATAAATGTACAGATTCCAAGAAATAAATAAATCAATAAATGTACAGATTCCAATAAATCAATCAATCAATCAATAAATGTACAGATTCCAAGAAATAAATCAATCAATCAATAAATGTACAGATTCCAAGAAATCAATCAATCAATAAATGTACAGATTCCAATCAATCAATCAATAAATATACAGATTCCAATCAATCAATCAATAAATGTACAGATTCCAAGAAATAAATCAATCAATAAATTACAATCAAGAATAAATAAATCAATAAAAATAAGATTCCATAAATCAATCAATCAATCAATAAATGTACAATTCCAAGAAATAAATCAATCAATAAATGTACCAAGAAATAAATCAATCAATAAATCAATCAAGAAATAAATCAATCAATAAATGTACAGATTCCAAGAAATCAATCAATCAAAAATAAAATCAATCAAGAAATAAATCATTAAATGTACAGATTCCAATAAATTAAATCAAAATGTACAGATTCCAATAAATAATAAATCAATAAATGTACAGATTCCAGAAATAAATCAATCAATAAATGTACAGATTCCAAGAAATAAATAAATCAATCAATAAATGTACAGATTCCAAGAAATAAATAAAATCAATAAAATTCAAGAAATAAAATAAATAAATCAAGAAATCAATAAATCAATAAATGTAAATCAAGAAATCAATCAATCAATCATAAAATCATCAATCAAGAAATAAATCAATCAATAAAAGTCTAAAATACAAGAAATCAAGCAATAAAAGTCAACAAACCAAGAAATACAATAAATCAATATATTTACAGATTCCAAGAAATAAATCAATCAATAAATGTATAAAATCCAATCAATCAATCCATCAATAAAAGTCCTGGGTCTTGAGTCTGAGTGGTGCTGCAGCTGAAACCACGAGGTTCATCCTTTTGTCCGGATCTTTTTCCAGACAAACCTGGACGAACTCTTTTCCCTCTGGGGTTGAATCGCTCGTGTTCATGGAACTTCTCCTCCGATCCTCGCGCACGTCTCCAACTCACTCCCGTCTCCATGAGGAGTTCGTACGCGATGAGCTGCCGCACAGAGGTCGGACCAACTCTGTACTTGTGAGTCATGAGGAACTCCGGGGGCAGAACTTGGGAGTCCCGGCGTAGGAGGTGTACGGCTGGACCCTGATCCTACAGCTGCTCCCGAAGTCGATGAGGCGGACGCTGATGCCCCCTCTGTCTCCTGGATCAGGACGTTTTCCATTTTCAGATTTTCTCTATGGAAAACATTTTTTTCTCTCCAGATCTTTTACTGCCAAGACCAGCTGCTTCATAATGTCCCTGACTGTATGTTGAGGCAGAGGGTCATGGACGACGCTGTAGGTCAGCAGGTCCGTACAGGGGGCGGCTCCATGACGATTACGACGTGCGTGTCCGATTGAAACCGGTCCAGGAGGGCGACGGCGGCGCACTGACCGACCCCGTCCGTCGCTCTGTACATCATGTCCATCACCTCCATGGGGATGTGGTCAACCCGCCCACAGCTCGACAGGGGCACAACTCCACCAGGTTCTTGGGGATGGACTTGATGTCCACCTGCAAGACACGTCACAGAAGACTTAGTTCCAGCAGACGTCAATCAAACACTTTGGCCACGTTCAGACTCATTTTTTTGCGAGTCCCGGTCCAGAACCTGGTTTAGTCCTGGTCCAGTACCCAGTTTAGACCTGGTTTAGTCCTGGTTTAATCTTGGTTTAGTCCTGGTCCAGTATCTGGTTTAGTTCTGGTTTAGTCCTGGTTTAAGACATGGTTTTAGTCCTGGTTTAGTCCTGGTTTGGTCCTGGTTTAGACCTGGTTTTAGTCCTGGTTTAATCCTGGTTTGGTCCTGGTTTAGTCTGTTTGTTCCTGGTTTAGTCCTGGTTTTAGTCCTGGTTTAGTCCTGGTCCAGTACCTGGTTTAGTCCTGGTTTAGTCCTGGTCCAGTACCTGGTTTAGTCCTGGTTTAGTCCTGGTTTAGTCCTGGTCCAGTACCTGGTTTAGTCCTGGTTTAGTCCTGGTCCTGGTTTAGTCCTGGTTTAGTCCTGGTTTAGTCCTGGTCCAGTACCTGGTTTAGTCCTGGTTTAGTCCTGGTTTAGTCCTGGTCCAGTACCTGGTTTAGTCCTGGTTTAGTCCTGGTCCAGTACCTGGTTTAGTCCTGGTTTAGTCCTGGTCCAGTACCTGGTTTAGTCCTGGTCCAGTACCTGGTTTAGTCCTGGTTTAGTCCTGGTTTAGTCCTGGTCCAGTACCTGGTTTAGTCCTGGTTTAGTCCTGGTTTAATCTTGGTTTAGTCCTGGTCCAGTACCTGGTTTAGTCCTGGTTTAGTCCTGGTCCAGTATCTGGTTTAATCCTGGTTTTAGACCTGGTTTTAGTCCTGGTTTAGTCCTACTTTAGTCCTAGTTTAGTCCTGGAATGGGTTAGTCCTGGTGTTAGTTCTGGTTTAGACCTGCTTTAGACCTGGTTTTAGTTCTGGTTTTAGACCTGGTTTTAGTCCTGGTTTTAGACCTGGTTTTAGTCCTTGTTTAGTCCTGGCCCACTACCTGGATTAGTCCTGGTTTAGTCCTGGTTTAGTCCTGGTCCAGTACCTGGTCCAGTACCTGTTTTGGTCCTGGTTTAGTCCTGGTCCAGTACCTGGTTTAGTCCTGGTTTAATCCTGGTTTAGTCCTGGTCCAGTACCTGGTCCAGTACTTGGTTTAGTCCTGGTCCAGTACCTGGTCCAGTACCTGGTTTAGTCCTGGTCCAGTACCTGGTTTAGTCCTGGTTTAATCCTGGTTTAGTCCTGGTCCAGTACCTGGTCCAGTACCTGGTTTAGTCCTGGTCCAGTACCTGGTCCAGTACCTGGTTTAGTCCTTGTTTAGTCCTGGTTTAGTCTTATTTGTATATTTAAGAGTATATTTACTCTTTTTTTTGGTCCAATTTAAATGAAAAAAACATTAGTGACTTAACTTTTATCCAATTTATATGAAAATTTAACTCAATAACACTTTTTTTCTGCATGAACCAGGTCTAAAACCAGGACTAAACCCAAGACTAAACCAGGACTAAACCAGGACTAAACCAGGACTAAACCAGGACTAAAACTCTACGGCGCATCACAAACACACACGCTCCCTACGCACGGCTCGTCTGCGACAGCGTGTGCCCTCGTGTACCAGCGTGCATCACAGGGCAGGTTCAACTTCCTAAACATCCTACCTGTCCATCTGCCTCACGTCAGCACGCCGCCCCTCGCCTTTTCACGCTCTCGCTCCTTCCTGCGTACAGCCAACACAAGCCCCTCCCACAGTGCGGCTGATTAGAAGAGCAAGACCAAACGTGAAGCAAAAACCAGTCTAAATTTGTGTTCCAGTGTCGGCACAAAGCAGGTCTACAGCATAGAGCGGATCTACAGAACAGACCTACTGCCACATTTGGCTGAAGTTTGTCTAACAAAAGTGACAAATGCATCTGTGTTTGTCACGATGTGCGTTTGGTTTGGTAAACGTGCAGAGGCTGGTAAATATCACTGCAAAACCAGAAAAGAATGTAACTCCAGTTTGGAACTTTAAAAAACAGGTTTAAAAATCTTCCTTCACTTTTTTCACAGTTTTGTGTAAAGTGCCAGAGGAAGTTCTCTTAAAGGTTGTATGGAGGATTTTTTTTATTTTCAAATTGTCAGTGAAAGATTAAAATACCATTACAGAGACGCAGCAGCTTTGTAATTATGATGACCAAAAAAAAAAAGACCGAAAATCTATCAACTGTGGACGTGTTGAGGCCAGATAAACATCAGCCAATAGAAAACGAGGCTCCCTCATTTTCTATTGGCTGTTAGGTTGTCAATCAAACTCCCTAGTGTAACTGACTCGTCGGAGCGCGGGGATTATGTGGTTTATGCAGCGGTTCTTAGAGGCTTTTTCGAACTGTCGCTTCCTCACATTTTGTACAAAGTTTGTCGCGACGGTGGACGAGAATCCACGACCGGTTCGCCGCAAAAGAAAGTCAGTTTTTGAGGTCGCTGAAAGAAAAAGAGAAGGGGAAAAGGAGCAAAGCCAAACTGAGGTGATTCTTGGAGATCTCGTCCAGCGATGACGCGACCGAAGCAGACGAAGGGTCTAAAAACTGACGCGTCGGTCGCTGAATTACTTCCAGACAGGAAACTTCAACAGTAATTCTGAACGCGCACAAGGACTGTCGCTCTATTTCTCTTCCCTTAAAAAAATCCTCTATACAACCTTTAAAGAAGAGGTTCTCAAACTGTGGGCGAGGGTCCAAAAAAGGGGCACAGAGTGTTTCAGTGCAGTTTGCTTGGCTTTGTAGAGGTCGATCATTTTGACTTGGTCATTTTGTAAGTAGCAAAAAAAGTGAAAAAGTGTGAACACCCCTGATCTAGAACAACCAAATACACAACAAAACCTGCCCATGTTTCTCCGATGCTGCTGAAGTCAGTGACATAGTGTGTCCAGTGTCATGGCGGCGTAGTTACCGTTGCTATAGGGGTCACGTGACGGTGCAAAGCCTCTATAGTCGCCGGGCCGTCGTACAATGTCGTAAAAACTAAATTATAATCATACTGGTTAAAAGAATTTGAGCACCATATTTTCCCAGTTTTGCTGAGTGAGATTTTTTTTTTTTGCGAGGAAGGAATTAATCGCCTGGTCTCAAATAAAGGCCTGGTCTCAAATAAAGGCCTGGTCTGTTCAGTGACTGAAACAACTAAACGCCCCAGTTATTATTTGGTATTTTACGTTATTTGAACGAAACAAAACACAACTCCAGCTCTTTTTGTGATCGAAAAACACCGTAACATAGAACAATTCAGGTAAAATAATAAAATACAAACGCCGCGTCTTCACCAAGCTCCACTTCTGACGCTCTTCGTCCATAAACCGCGTCCTCGTCGGTATTTTCTGGTCTAAAATGCGTGTAATTACGGCAGAGACACGCGAGCCAGCCTCTCCTCTCAGACCTTTCAGGCGTCCAGCTCTTATCTCCGCACACAGAACACTCGCTCTCCTCTTTCTTTTTTTTTTCTTTTTGGTTTGTTTTTGGTGCGTCTGTTGTCGGCGAGTCTCGGAAAAAACATGTTCTTTTTGAAGCCGCATCGCTGTAAAAATCAAAGTGGATTTTTTTTTTTTTTATGTTACAACAGCCGTGTCCGTACAAAAGACTCGACAACCTGCGGAGGAACGCGGGAAATTATACACTGCAGAGTGTGACCGACGAGACGCTTTTAGAACCACGATTTCAGCCGGAGCTTTCCAGAAAACTGATGGAAACTGTTGCTTTTGTCGTAACTGTGCACTGTAAGAGCAGCGTCGGGGAGTAATAGATTACATGTACTGGAGTTATGTAATCAGAGTACAAATGAGGAGTAACTGTATTCAGTTACAGTTACTGTTTCAGTGAGTGGGAATTGGATTACAGTTACTTTGTTGAAATAAATGGATTACACAGAGGTAATTTTCATGTTTTCACATTTTGGGGTAAACCAGGGGACTAAACTAACTAAACCAGGACTAAAACAAGGACTAAACTAGAACTAAACCAGGACTAAAACCAGGACTAAACTAGAACTAAACCAGAAGTAAACTAGGACTAAACCAGGACTAAAACAGGACTAAACTAGAGCTAAACCAGGACTAAAACCAGGACTAAACTAGAACTAAACCAGGACTAAAACCAGGACTAAACTAGGACTAAACTAGAACTAAACCAGGACTAAAACCAGGACTAAACTAGGGCTAAACCAGGACTAAACTAGGACTAAACCAGGACTAAACTAAAACTAAACCAGGACTAAACTAGAACTAAGCTAGAACTAAACTAGGACTAAAACCAAGACTAAACCAGGACTAAACTAGGACTAAACTAGGACTAAACTAAGACTAAAAGGACTAAACCAGGACTAAACAGGACTAAACCAGGACTAAACCAGAACTAAACTAGACTAAAACCAGGACTAAAACCAAAACTAAACTAGAACTAAACTAAACAGGACTAAAACCAGGACTAAACTAGGACTAAAAGGACTAAACTAGGACTAAACTAGAACTAAACAGGACTAAACAACTAGGACTAAACTAGAACTAAACCAGGACTAAAACCAGAACTAAAACCAGGACTAAAACCAGGAACTAAACTAGGACTAAACCAGGACTAAACTAGGACTAAACTAAACTAAACCAGGACTAAACCAGGACTAAACTAGAACTAAGCTAGAACTAAACTAGGACTAAAACCAAGACTAAACCTAGGACTAAAACCAGAACTAAACTAGGACTAAACCAGGACTAAACTAGGACTAAAACCAGGACTAAACCAGGACTAAAACCAGAACTAAACTAGAACTAAACCAGGACTAAAACCAAAACTAAACTAGAACTAAAACTAAACAGGACTAAACCAGAACTAAACAGGACTAAACTAGGACTAAACTAGAACTAAACCAGGACCTAAACCAGAACTAAACTAGGACTAAAACCAGAACTAAGCTAGGACTAAACTAGAACTAAACCAGGACTAACAGTAGGACTAAACTAGAACTAAATTAGGAAAAGACTAAAGGTGAAAGAAAAAAGACGTACGGGGCAGAAAATTAAGAAAGAACTGAGTGAGGCTCCAATTTTTCCCTCAAGTTTTTTTAATTATTTGTTCATGTTGTTGTTGTTGTTACATGTTCTTTTTGAAGCCGCATCGCTGTAAAAATCAAAGTGGATTTTTTTTTTTTTTATGTTACAACAGCCGTGTCCGTACAAAAGACTCGACAACCTGCGGAGGAACGCGGGAAATTATACACTGCAGAGTGTGACCGACGAGACGCTTTTAGAACCACGATTTCAGCCGGAGCTTTCCAGAAAACTGATGGAAACTGTTGCTTTTGTCGTAACTGTGCACTGTAAGAGCAGCGTCGGGGAGTAATAGATTACATGTACTGGAGTTATGTAATCAGAGTACAAATGAGGAGTAACTGTATTCAGTTACAGTTACTGTTTCAGTGAGTGGGAATTGGATTACAGTTACTTTGTTGAAATAAATGGATTACACAGAGGTAATTTTCATGTTTTCACATTTTGGGGTAAACCAGGACTAAAACAAGGACTAAACTAGAACTAAACCAGAAGTAAACTAGGACTAAACCAGGACTAAACTAGGGCTAAACCAGAACTAAACTAGGACTAAAACCAGAACTAAACTAGGGCTAAACCAGGACTAAACTAGGACTAAACTAAAACTAAACCAGGACTAAAACCAGGACTAAACTAGGGCTAAACCAGGACTAAACTAGGACTAAACTAAAACTAAACCAGGACTAAAACCAGGACTAAACTAGGACTAAACTAAAACTAAACCAGGACTAAAACCAGGACTAAACTAGGGCTAAACCAGGACTAAAACTAATCTAGGACTAAACTAGGACTAACACCACGACTAAACTAGGACTAAAACCAGAACTAAAACCAGGACTAAACTAGGAACTAAGCTAGAACTAAACTAGGACTAAAACCAAGACTAAACCAGGACTAAACCAGGACTAAACTAGGACTAAAACCAGGACTAAACCAGGACTAAACCAGGACTAAACTAGGACTAAAACCAGGACTAAACCAGGACTAAAACCAGAACTAAACTAGGACTAAACCAGGACTAAAACCAGAACTAAACTAGAACTAAACCAGGACTAAAACCAGAACTAAACTAGAACTAAACTAGGACTAAATTAGGACTAAAACCAGGACTAAAACCAGAACTAAACTAAGACTAAACCAGGACTAAAACCAGAACTAAACTAGGACT